ATCTGTCATCTGTCTTATAATACACTAGGTGAAGTCATCATGAACTGCTGTGCCAACTCAGATAATTTATTATTATTAATGCTATCTGCCTGCCTGATGCAGTCTGGAACTTCTCATTGGTGAGATGTGGGGATTTAGGAATTAAAAAACATCTTTAAGGGCAAGGAATTTAGCTCAATGGTTCCACCGCCTGCTATGCAAGGTCAAGGTCCCAAGTTCGATTACCAGTACCAAAAAAAAATCTTTAAGCTCAGCATCTTTAGCAACTAATTTTTTTCAGCTCAAAAACAGTAAGGATTGAGGAAGGAATGGGATTCGTCCGAGGTTGTATCACATGTCAGAATCAGAATAAGAACTGTACTCGTGGACTGATACTTCAGGGCTCTTTTTTCTGTATCATACATATAACCAGACCTCGATCTTTAACGGTTCTACATCCTAAGTCTCAATGACAAAAAATTAAACAATAAGAATATTTTTATTGGTTGACTAGCACTACGAAAGAGATGAGTAAGATAATGCCCTTTTAAAAATATGTTTTCCTTAATGTAATTTCCTTGAGCGTAGAAGTTATGTCGTTCTCACTATTATTCTCCTAGCACCAAGTAAATTATCTTGCATGATGAGGGTTAACTGAACATATGTCTATCGAATACCAACATATATCAGGCTACCTCCTATGGAGATAATGCCCTTTTAAAAATATGTTTTCCTTAATGTAATTTCCTTGAGCGTAGAAGTTATGTTGTTCTCACTATTATTCTCCTAGCACCAAGTAAATTATCTTGCATGATGAGGGTTAACTAAACATATGTCTATCGAATACCAACATATATCAGGCTACCTCCTATGTGGCCATTAACAATGAGCATTTATTTACAATGTGTCTGGTATTCTGTAAGAGTTTTGTGTATATTAAGGTATTTAATCCTCCCAAAAGCTCTACATTATTCCCACCTCACAGACAGAAAAATGAAAGCAAAGGGGTTGCACAGAAAATGAGAGATAACAGAGCTGGATTTTACCAACCAATTATGCACAGATCCTGACTTTAAGAAATTCAAGATTTAGGATGGGAGGTAAGATACACACGTTTTAAAAAACTGATGTCTTTTATAAAAACGCATATGTAAAAGTTTAAGTAAAAAAATGCTAAGGAAAGCATATAGTATATTAATTTTGTTGTAAGAAGATAAAAAAATACATCTACTTATCTTTACAAAAGGAAGCACAGGAAGGATAAGCTATAAAACACAGAAGTCTAATGTCTAAAAGAGGAAAATAAAGAAGAGATTAGGAGGGAATGATGCTTGTCTGAGTATATTTTTTGTACAATTCTGACTTTTGAAAGTATGTTACTACTCTATATATTTATTCAAAGACTAAACATGGGCAACAACAAATAAATTATAAATTCCTTTTGGGTTGACTTTAACATAGTATAGAAAAGCAATGAAACTACTTCAGATGCATTTTATGATTAAAGAATCTAATGTGTACATGTGCACATATAAGCTTATCTTTTACATATATACATGCACATGTGTGTAAATACACACACACAAACATGCACATATACAGATGCATGTGTGGGGGTGTATTTCCTTGTTCCGCTAAGCCTAGAAGCAAATACACTCCAGTAGCAATGAAGATACCTAGTCCCCCAGTCTTGATCTGCAATACTAAAAAGAAATTAGCTTCTAAAAGAAACAGCCAGTTCCAGGACTGGACACAGAAGGTACAAGATGAGCTCATAGCAACTAGTGAATGCCAGAAAGTAAGGCAGTACTCCCAAATGACAGAGCACATCACAGAGAAGTAGCCTGAACGATAATTTGAATATCAAAATAAACAAGAAGAGCAAATATCGGGGAAAAAGGAGAGATCTACAAAATCATACCAATAAGAGACAAAAAAAGAAGCAATAGAAGAAAGAGCTCTTGACTACAAAAGCCAACTGGTAAAAGGGGTGGGGAGTATTTAGGTTAGAAAAAAATCATTTTGCAGGGTTTGGGGATTTAGCTCAGTGGTGCTGGCACTTGTAAGGCAAGCACAAGGTCCTGAGTGTGATCCCCAGTATTAGGAAAAAAAAAAAGCGAGAAAAAAAATCATTTTGCAATCTTCACAGTAAAGACTGACGCAACAAGAAGAATAGAAGCTAAATTTATGAAGGAAATTGTGATAGAGTGGGAAATCTGCAGCCTCTCGTCACAGAAAGCTGCTAGCAGCAAAGGAAAAGATATCTTAACCCTACAGAGAAAAATCACACATTACAAGTAAGGAGCAGGCAGATATTAAGTGCCCTTAGATGTCATATGCTGGGCAGGACAGGCTGTTATTCACAGAGCATTTGGGCCCAGAAACACACAGCCTAACTTCAGCATGAGAGAGGATCAGACAAACCTCCAAAATTAGGAATGTTTTATTTTTAAAAAGCAGGGACAGGGGCTCCTCAAAAACATCAATGCCATAAGAGGCAGGCTGGGGAACTAGATTAAAGGAGACTAAAAGTACATGGTAACTAAATATAATTTATGGCTCCAGTGTTGGAGGAAAAAATTGGATAAGAAAAACATCATCGACTCAAGTGAACAAAGGAGAAAATGGACACATAAACAAAAGTGTGGTATTAATGTGAAACTTACTGAACTACACTGTGGTTATGTAACAGATATCCATATCCCTAAGAGACACTGAAATATTTAGGAGTAAAATAATATCATGCTTAAAACTTGCCCTCAAATGACTATGTACGGGTATTTGCGTACATATAAACACAGAGCACAGCTGCAAGCACAAGTGCTTACGCAAATGAGGGCAACATTAACAACAGCAAATGGGCAGAAAAGATATATGAATGTTGTTTGTACTGTTTACACAACTTTCAAGGCTGATATTATTTCCAAAACAAAAACAAGATTAAAACAAATGGAAAGTACTTATGGTAAAGGGCTACAACTGAATAAGACAGATGAGCAGCAAAAGAATGGTCAGAAAGGTTTTCTTGGAGATTACAGCATTTTTTCATGGGGCACAAAGGATCAGGAAGAAACTCAAAGCAGCATATTCCGTACCCTGGGATGTGGGGCAGAAGTTACTGTACTCACTACACAGTGGCTACCAGCTCTCTCTGGCTAGGAAGCAGTGTGCGCTGCTGCTGACTAATCTGAAATGTTTCTCAACGCTGACAGAGGTGGGTAGAGACAGGAAGCAATGCACAACCCAGTGAATAATGGACCATGAGCAGGCATTGCTGCATACGCTGCACAAGTACTGCGATGGAAACAGGCCCTCCCTACCCTCTGAGCTTGGAAGGAAGTCTCTCCATGTTCCAGATGTATGAAGACAGTCCAGGAGTCATTACCAAACACCACAGCCTAGGCCACGGGACTCTCATTTCCACATGCTGACTGGTAACTATTTGAGTCACAAGGCTCTAGAAAATGGCAGCCTCCATCTAGCCCTGTGTGGACAGAGAATACAACTAGTCATCTCTGAATCGCTCAAAGCCAAGACCTGTGAGGCCTCATGAAACGTGGTCAGCACAACCAACCTCAAATGACCACACTGTGGCCTAAATTAAGCTTCCAGACAAGCAAAGCACCCCAAATGAAAGTAAGTGAGGATGGAAGACATGAAGGTCTGAAGGGAGACTGAGAAGTGGACATGGGTTTAGCACACTCATACATGAGAGCAGGAGGTGGGAAGATGTGTAGAGAACCCCACTTCTGGGTGTGTTGACTTTGGTGACAGTCCAGCAAGAAATACATGCTTATGTTATTTAGCCACTAAATTCTTACAAATAAAATAATGAAAATCACCAAGAGGTGGTTAACTTACCCTGGCAAGTTTCTCTGGTTTGGAAGAGACGTGCAGCTGGGAAAACAGCTCTGATATCTCTTTGGTAAAATCTTCATCCCCTAAAAAACCAAGCCCCATGTAAAACATTCCAGAAAGACTGCTGAGGATCATGAGGAAAGTAAAGAGGAGGCAAAGGGTAGCAGTAGCAGTACCAGTGATAACATTAACAATGATGGAGCAGCAGCAATGGACATGAGCACAGTGCCTTAAGGCTTACAGAATCTTTTTATGTACATTATATGAAAAAATCCTTTCAAGGGGCTTGAAGAAATGAGTGTTTGAAAAGATTAAGGAGTTAAACCTTGCTCCTCCTGCTCCCAGTGCTCCTTGTGTTACAACTAAGATGAATGGAGAAGTGGCGAAGGTAGAGTACCACACAGGTACGCTTGTGCTTTCAAGGAAATAGAATTTCACTTAAGATAGGAAAGAGAGTTTCAGGCAGAAAAAAAAAACTGCAAAGTTTTAGGAGTGTAAGAAAGCATGGCTAAAAGTTTGATGTGGTCAGTATCTAATATAAGAGGAGCAGTGAAAAGGAGCAAAAAAGTTGAGTGGGACCCAGACAATAAAGGGCTGTATAAACCAAGAAAAGGAACTCAAACTTTATAGCCAGGGAGTGAGAAGCTACTGAATAATTTTAAGCAAAAATAGGTACAAAATTAAATTTTCAAAGATCACTCTTGCTGCTGAGTGGGAAATGGATCAGATGGGAAACAAAAAGAGAGGCAGGGCTGAGGCAATATCCATGACCCATGTAAGACATACTGGTGGATAAAGAAAAAACAAAGGAAAGAGAATCCAGAATATTGGAAGGATTGTAAGAAAACTGTTGGAATCATCCTGATAACAGATGGCAGCTAACATGGAATACCTACACTTGAGAAACATATACGCAAATCAGTACGTCAAGGTCAAATATAATCACCTCATCTAAGTAAATGGCAGGAAATGCTCTTTCCCTCTCTACACATCTAAATCTTACCACTCTTCCTTCTGTCCAAGGCCTACTCCAGGGATCCTCCGCAATATGAAATGCAGAGCAGAACTCAAGTGCACAGGAATCTTCTAGTACTTTCCATCCAGATGTGTATTACTAGTCCATGACTTGCAAGGGCAAGTTACGACTGCTACATACCTGGCATTTCCCCTTAAAATCCCCAGGGGGAGAAAACACCTCAGCCCTTCTCTCTCTATCCACTATAATCTTCTCTCTCTCTCTCTCTCTCTCTCTTCAAGCAAAGAATTAAAATAATTTAGTGATCTCAAGCATAACTTGGTTTGGGAAAAGCTGATCTCACTGATACAGCTCTGACCCTCATAACTCATCTGAACAACTTCTAATGTTATCGTACTAGGAAAAAATCTAAAACCTAACTCTTAGACATTTTATTTTCCCAACTAAGCTCTAAATATTTGAGTTCAAAAAATGAATCTGACTCCACAGTGGGATGCACACACCAGAGGGTTCAAAAATCCCATGGCATGCCAGGGGGAAAAAGGGGATATTTATTTAGAGATATTTATCCCATTCTACTCAAAACTACTATTTTAGGGTATATTTTTAATGTATAAAATATATTATTACGGTAGTTCGTATATGTACTTTATAAACATTCAAACATATACACATTCTAAGTATTCAATAAACTTCCACTAGTAAAAGCTGTGATTAAAAAATGTTTGGAGGTCACTGTCCCACATTCTTTACAATACTCAGTATAAAAAGTAGTTGCTGATTAAATAAAAGTGTTTAAGCGTACAAAAAAGAAAGCACTTGCATTGTGGAGGGATGTGCAAAGAGGCTGGTCTCCCTGAGCAGACAGAGGAGCAAGTGCTAAGGACACCAATCTGATGGTAAATGGTGACCAACTTCACCAGAACCAGCTCTACACGGTTTTTCTCTCTGCTACTTCATTTTTTGCTTTTAACAGCTTCACCAAAGTCACTGTTGCATTTTCAAGCAAAATCACTGCACAAAGATGAACAGGGCTGGGAAAGGGCTGGATGGGATGGGGTAGCACACTGGAATCCCCTCTTGTGTTTTTAGTCCTCATCTATGGCAAACAGATAGAAGAAGAAAAAATATCACAAACACAAATCCATATGTTTGGAAAAGATCTTAGTGTTCTCTAAAAGCTATTTAAAGACTGGGATTTCTGATTACTATACAAAGCCATATGTGGACCAAACTGAACAGATACTGTTAATGGCACCATGGACAAATAAACTAGTAAATAAATGGGAAATGTCATAACAAGGCTTTGTTAGAAACAGTGCAGAAACGTAAGCAAATTAAAACAAAATGATGGGTTTTCTGCTTACTAAGACTTTCAAAACATGGATTTTTTTAAAATCCATTTACTTCTATCTTTCTAACAGTAAAAATTTTAAACAGCATTTTCTGGGTGCTTAATATGTGTCACACATTAAAAGTAACTGATCTTCATTTTTAACCCAAGTCTGTAACTCTGAAACTCATCTTTTTAAAATTGTGCTAAACTGCTGTTTCAGGACAGCCTCAAAAACTCATTTCATTTTGTTGTGAGACAGGATCTTACTAAGTAGTTCGGACAGGGTGACCTCACATTTGTGGTCTCCTGCCTCAGTCTCCCAAGTGGTGGGATTACTTTGCATGTGCTATCATACCCAGCTTCAAAAATCGTATTATTTTTTCTTTTTTGAGACAATGTCTCGCAATGCAGTGTAGCCTTGAACTCGAGGTAGTCCTCCTACATCAGCCTCCGAAGGGCTAGGATTACAGGTGTGTACTACCATGCTTGGCCAAAAACCATTTTCAAATAAAGAGCAGTATTTTCACATAAAATAAGCCAGGCGTTATGTAATCAACAAGCTTGACTTCTTAGAATGCAATGCAGAATAGAAATAGAAACATATACCGAATAGTTTCCCTGGTGTGAATAACCTGCAATAATACATAAGATCCTAATAAGATTACTGACATTTAGAAATGGGAAGAAAGGAACTAAAAGTGTACGGAAGATGGGATGGGTAGGGGAAGAGTAATAAGGGAAAAGAAAAAAATGTGAGATAATGAAAAGATGAAAATAAAGTGTTTGTAGATGGGGAGGGGAGAAGGGGGTGAAGGGAGGGCAGGGGAAAGGGGAAAAAATGAGAATCAAGACTTGTCATGCAGAGGTACAAGATCCCAACAATGAATGTAACTGTACTGTATCCCTAAAATGTACCAATAAACTCAAAGCTGAAAAAAAAAAAGAAACATAAAAGAAAAGGCCCCTAGGGATCTCATCTTATTAAAAAGCATCTGTACTGCAAAAGAAACCATCAGCAGAACTAAGAGACAGCCTACAATGTGGGAAAAAAATTTTACCAGCTGCTCCTCAGACAAAGGACTATTACCTAGTATATATAAAGAACTCAAAACAATCAGCCCCCTTAAATATAAAGACCCAATTCAAAAATGGGCATCTGAAGTACAAAGACATTTCTCAGATGAAGTAAAAGCAGCAAGTAAATATATGAAAAAATGTTCCACATCACTGGTCATTCGAGAGATGCAGATGAAAACAACACTGAGATTCCACCTCACCCCACAAAGAATGGCTGCTATCAAGAAATCACACAATAACAAAGGTTGGCATGGTTGTGGGGAGAAAGGAACCCTTCTCCATGGTTGGTGGGAGTGCAGACTGGTGCAACCACTGTGGAAATCAGCATGGAGATACCTCAAAGAGCTGGGACTAGAGGTTCCATTTGACTCAGCCATCCCTCTGCTGGGTATCCTTCCAAAAGAACTAAAAGAATCATATCACAGTGATGTATGCACACCCAGGTTTATAGTGGCACAAAACTGTAATAGCTAAAACTTGGAAACAGCCCATTTGCCTGTCAGTTGGAAACTGGATAAAGAAGATGTGGTTTTTCTATAAAATG